AGAGGGCCTGTGTTGTGGCTATCCTTGTTGCTACCTAACGTGCCTGCAAAAGCCCCATGTCTCCTAACAGATTAGAATTCAGACTCCTTACCAGGGCATCAAGACTCCATGATCTGATCTAACCAACCTCAAAAACTCAACTCATCCCTCTACACACCCTGTCCTTGGCCATAGTAGTCACCTCACCATTCTCCTATGAGTCATCTATTTTCATATTTCCATGTATTTATTTTATATATTCTATACCCATATGCCTTTTCTCATATTTTCTTCTCCTCAAATATCTGTAGTGCTCAGTATCTCATTAGTTGCTGCCTCCTTTAATTCCCCACCATCAGAACCAATATTCTTTTGTTCTCCCACAGCAGAGTGTTGTTTTCTCCCTAGCACTTTATTCCTTCTTTGTTTTTCAGTAATTGTATATATGCCTGTCTCCTCTTTGATTCATTTCCATACTCACCCAGAGCCTGGCACAGTGCCTTCCTTGCATGTCAGAAGTGCCTAATGAATGTTTGTATTGAATGAGCCCTCCCGTGACCTCTTTCCCTTGTTGCCACCAGGCCAGTATCCTTCTACCTCCTTATTCCCCATCACCATATCCCTCCTCCTAGGCTGTCCTACGTACATGGATGTTGTCATTGTTTTGGATGGCTCCAACAGCATCTACCCCTGGTCTGAAGTTCAGACTTTCCTACGAAGACTGGTAGGGAGACTATTTATTGACCCGGAGCAGATACAGGTAAGAGAAGGCAATCTGGAGGGGCCTGGTGGGGGAGAGACAGGGAAGGAGGAGATAAATGTCGATGGCATCTTCGGTAGTATTCAGATGTCCATCTCCCCTCTCCCACACACTTTCTTCTTTCTCATGTCGCCCATCCCACATACACACATTCCATTTGAGTGCACACTTTATTCCCAGGTGGGACTGGTACAGTATGGGGAGAGCCCTGTACATGAGTGGTCCCTGGGAGATTTCCGAACCAAGGAAGAAGTGGTGAGAGCAGCAAGGAACCTCAGTCGGAGGGAGGGACGAGAAACAAAGACGGCGGAAGCAATAATGATGGCCTGGTGAGGCATTGTGAAGGGGAGTGTGGAGGCCAGAGTGATGAAAGCTTAGAAGGGCTAGGGGAGGGTTTGGAGTGCAGTGTGTGCATCCCAAGATGTCTTTTTTTTTTTTTTTTATATTGAGTCCTTGACACTGACCAAGATGTCTTGCATGTTTATCTTTGTATGTACACTAATAGCATGTGGAGGAAAGCAAAGTTGGCTGTCATTGCACTCCCTCTAATTGCATTTCTACACTTTCTGTATCTGTGTCTCTCCATGTTTCTGCTTCGTTTATCTTCACAGACAGAACTCTCCCTCTCTCCATCCATTCACTCCAATTTTAATCCTGGCTCTTGGGTTCTCCAACACTCATGTCCTAGCCCATCATTCAAAGCCCATCTCTGAGAAGACTCCCCTGACCTGACCATTCTCCTCTGTTCTATGTTTTCTTAATATTTACGCTCGCAATGCAATATTTGTTGAATGAATCTATGAATGAATGAATTTTGTACTCATTTGTATTGATGATCTGCTACTCTGTATGTTCTATGACATTCAAACATTTGAGTTCTTACTCTGTGCCAGTCTTCATATTAGGCACTTGGAAATGACCTAAAAGGCAAGATGCCTGACCTTGGTGAATTGCTGATTACATTAAATTTTCTCTGTGTGTGTGTGTGTGTGTCCGTGTGTGTATCCACATACAACTGATCACACCTCACTTCTTTCTCTCTCAGCACAGAAGGATT